TGTGGGGCAGGGAATTAATATCTCTGTTCACGGAGAAGAAACTGAAGCACAGCTATTCTGTCTTAAAGTCATTTGGAGTCTGGCTGTGATGGCATTTCAGTCCAAATCTCCTGTGTTTTAAGACTAGGATCCTGCCTGCCAAACTATTGTTCCCTGCTAATCATTCTCAAGAGAAAAAGGAACAACACATCAAAGGTTGTATGAGATTTTTGTACCTGGTTCAGATACCCCCTACTAAAGTCAGAGGAAAGACTTTCCCTGGCTCCAATAAATCTGTGGCCCTCAGCTGCAATCTGAGTAGAAGCTGACTGTGCTGGAGGCTGCCCTGAAAGAAGGAGGGCAAATTAGGTAAGATTAGGTGGGATTTCAGGAAATCCAGCTGCCAAATTGCCCAGCTTTGCATGTCAGAGTAGGCAGAGTTGTATATGGGAGGCTGTGGGGAGATGGAGCAGTTATGATCCATTACCTCCCTGCACCTTGTGCCTAGGTCCATAAGATAAACCCAATAATCCTTGTGCCTGAGTAGCAATAATACCACTCAGGCATTACAAAATACTTCTCTGTCATTCAAACTTCTCTCTGGGGAAAAGAAATAGACTTTGTGACTTACAATATTCTAGTACATTTAGCTAGCTACACATTTCCATTCCCCAAGGCCTGCTGAACCAAAACAATGTTGCCAGTCTGAACAGTCTTTTGAAATGACAGTAATTAGCACTATAGATTGCGCTGGAATTATATTGACAGGGTGCAATGAAAAGGAAAACCACGTATCCCACTGAAGACAGAACTTTATCAGCATGTGAATTGGCACAAAGTTTTGTTGCAGTTAAAAGTGCCAAAGCATGATTGAGACAGGGCAAATGTTGTTTTCACTGGTTTTGTTCTTAAATGTCAGTCATTGAGGGCTTTTCATGCCTCAGGATACTGCAACAAGAAAGGGCAGTAAATGACCACAGGAAAATGAATGCTAAAATTAAAATCTAGCAGGTCTGGCTGCAGCAGTGAAAAAAGATAAATGTGAAGGAGTGTGAGAGGGAACTAGAGAGAGTGCTGTTAGCATGGAGGCTGATCAGGAGCAGCATCACAGGAGCTGCAGGAGGTTGATGTGGCTTGCCTGCAATTTTTAGCAAGAGCTTTGGGCTTCCCTATGTGCAAGTTCTGTAATAACTGTACCAGTGTGTCATTAGCTCCAATAATGTAGAATCTAAGTGCCTAGGAACTAGGTGGGACACCACTAAGTGCCTAGACTAGCTGGGACACCACTGAGCTACATGCTGAACAAAGGACAGTCCAAGCAACTTATAATGAGAGTAGGTTTTCCAGGTATAACTTACTCAGAGCACTTGTATGATGACAGTCACAATTAGGATTTGCTGTGCATGGATTGGTGACAGTGTGACAGGGTCTTAGCCAGTGGGACTGCAGCTTCAGCAGAGATCCTGTCCCTACCGGACATGTGGGGGGAAGATGGGGCTCCTGTGGTTTCGTGGATGGTGCTCCCTGAAGACCCATGGTAAATCATGCTTGCTTAGAATAAAATAAACAATGAAACCAATTCCTAATGAACAAAATAGTATCTTTTTATGTAATCTTGCCATGATGTGAAATGCAGGAATCAGATCAGCCCAGGGTAATTGCATTATAGCAGACCTGCCTTGTGACAAACACAGAGGATGGGAATCAGGCAACCTGGACTCTGCTCCCAGCTCCTTGGCAATGCCAGCTATAGCCTTGCAGTGCCAGTAGTCCCAGAGGAGTGTGGGGTGTTCAGCACATCTGCTATTTCAAGCCACCTCATTGTTCTCTGTTGAAGTGGCATTGCTAACACTTTAGTTGAAGGAGAAAGCATAGGAACAGTAATAAAACCCAGGAAAGTAAGGCCCTTCAGTGGGCAAAGCTGTAGAAATGCTCTGTATAATTAAAGTCACCTGGAAATTGAGCAATTACATGAACACTTCTAGATAACACAGCACGAGCCAAAAGCTAGAACTACAACCTTGGGAAAATATGGTCTAAATTCTGCTTCTGCCTCTGCAATGCAGAGCTGCTGTCTCCAGCAGAAGTCTGTTGTGTGTGACTGACTGTATTTCAGATGGTAGGTTCTCTTATTCAGAAATTGTCTTCCTCGGCATTTGTACATGCCAAATTACAGTAATTTGGTCATTCTTAATATGAATGCAGGCAGTTTGGGAAAGGGGCTTTCTCTGTATCCTGTCATTATCATTCCCTAAGTATCTGTGGATGCCTCCTGGGGATAAGATACTCATTAAATAAAAACCTGGCCTAAGCACAGATACTGTAAATCAGAACTGTCTGAGCATCAGTGCCAGGACTAGAGCCATGGGGAGTCCAGCCGAGTACTAAAAAAGTGCCTTTTCACTTGCCTTTAAGGGAGAACTGTAATAACCAGGTTCAATTTTCTGAACCTGATTTCAGTCCTGCTGAAAAAAAAGGTCCAGAATAAAAGGTGAAAATCAGCTGAAATTCTGCCAAGTCTGATGGGACACAATAAGCCATGCACAATTAATGCCAGGGGGGCTGCAGACAAAGCGTACAGCAAAGCAGAAGCATAAATCTGAGAAGGCCAGAGTACACTGGTGTCTCTGTAGTTGCCTGTGAATAAGCAGAAGACCAAATAAGAAGCGTTTGGGCACTGAAGTGACTGTGTTACAGAGCAGCAGGACTGTGTGAACTTTGCCACTCAGCTGCAGAACAAGAGCAGGAGTGGCAAAGAAGCATTTCTGAAAGCAAAGCTTAGACTTGGGCTGCATGGCAATTAACAAGTGTGTGTTGCATGGCACTGCTTTCTGAAAATGGACAAATTTTGCTTGTCTCTATTCCATACCTGATTTTTATGTTTTTTTTTAGCAATACTGAATGCACAGCATATTACGAGCAAAGCAAAATATATTTTGCCTCCAAAATATTATTTGGAGGTTAAAGCTGAGGCCACATGTTTTCTCTACAACCTACTCTTGTTTATGCTTTTACCTAAATGACGTTATAAAGACATTCATCTGACTCCACTGCTTTAGAGGTGGTGGTTAGGAGATTAATTATTTGAAGCAGTATTAACTTTCCCAAAATAATGAACATACAAACTTTTCTAGTTATGGCAGTGTTGAATAGCTTGCATATTGATTGTCTCTAAGATCCCATTGTTGTTTTTAACAGTCTGTAACAGAGTTTTGTGCTGGTTTCAGCTGAGATAGAGTTAATTTTCTTCCTGGTAGCTGGCACAGTGCTGTGTTTTGTATTTAGGATGAGAATAATGTTGATAACACAGCAATGTTGTAGTTGTTGCTGACTAGTGCTTAGACTGAGTCAAGGACTTCTCAGGTTCTCATGCTGTCTCACCAGTGAGCAGGCTAGGGGTGCACAAGGAGTTGGGAGGGGACACAGCCGGGACACCAATCCCAACTGACCCAGGGGGTATCTCACACCATATGGCATCACGCTCAGCATGGTACACTGTGGAGAAGCTGGCTGGGGAACTGCTGCTCAGGAATACGCTGGGAATTGGTTGGTTGGGGGTGAGCAATTGCATTGTGCGTCACTTGTTTTCTATATTTTTTCATCTTTATTATTGCCATTATTATTATTTTCTTCCATTTCTGTCCCATTAAACTGTCTTTATCAACCCATGAGTTTGAATCTTCCAGCTCTCTCCTCCATCCCACTGCTGGGGGAGTGAGCAAGCAGCAGCGTGATGCTTAGTTGCTGGACGGGGTTAAATCACAACAGCTTTCAAGGGAACATTTTCTAGGACCCCAAAACTTGCATTTGTGTCTCTGAAATTCCAAATACCTGGAAAGAATGAGGAGGAAAACAGTTCTCCCAATTAACATTTCTAAGTAATGTTATGCAGCACGTTCTATTTTCAAAGTCATCAAAGGTATGCACTGAAGAAATCATCGCTGGGGTTATAGATATGAAGCATATAGGTATGTGTATGGTTTTATATGTATATAAAAGTAAATTGGCCAAAATAAAGGAGCAATCTGATCTAACATCAAAGTTTACTCTGCCATGCATAGGAGATTAAACTACGTATGCATCTGAGGTCCCTGCCAAACCAAATTGTTCAGTGATTTTAACTTGCCTTCCTATTGTTCTGTTTAACAGATTCCTGCAGGAAACAGCCAGTGCTCACTTTAGCTGATCTGCTCTAGTAAATGCAACCGTTTTCACTTAACAGCTTGCCTGCCAGGGTATTTTTTTTCCATTTATTTTTAATTAAATAAAATAAAATGGCATTTGTGTAGTGCTCTGGATTCCAAAGCACTTAGTGTTCCACTGAAAAATTGCTACTCCCCACACTGAGGCATCCTCCAGGTTTTTGATGCCCAATCGTGTCAGAATAAGCAATAAAGAGACTCTGGATTTCCTCTTACATGGCATGTGGATCCAAGAGGCTTTTGACGACGTGTGTAGGGGTTGGTTCTGGAAAACGAGATGCTGTTTACTTAAGGAAGAAGCCACTCTGTTAGTCTGTGCACTGATCTTGCAAGAAGCAGGGTATCTTTGTGCCCATCTCTCTTAAAAACCGTTGGGGTGAGGAGTTTCTCCTGTGTGGCAGCTCCTCCACCCTCACAGGGAAGAACTTCTTCCTAATGTCTAAGCTAAATCTCCCCTCTGGCAGGTTAAAGCCACTCCCCTTGTCCTGTCCGTACAGGCCCTTGTCCAAAGCCCCTCTCCGGGTTTCCTGCAGCCCCTTTAGGCACCGGAGCTGCTCTAAGGTCCCCCCTTAAGGAGCCTTCTCTTCTCCAGGCTGAACCAGCCACGATGAATCACGTTGTCACCGCGGGGTGCCGGGGCCGCGTCAGCCGGCTCTGGGATGCGCCGGGACTGAACTGTCCCAGCCCCTCCGAGCCCCTGGCAGCACCGTGGACCCCTGCACGGTCGGCGCGGTCCGGTCCGGCCCGGCCCCCGGCCTCCCCCGGTCCCGCGTCCCGCCCCCTGGCCGAAACCCCGCCCGCCGCCGCCATCTTTGTTGATGTGTCAGCTCGGGGGCCGGTCCCGCCGCCGCCATGGGGCAGCTGTCGCGTTTGTCGCCGACCTCGTAGAGCTCGGGTAAGTGCTTGCTGCCGGGCCCCCGCAGGCGCTGCCGGGCTCCCTGAGGCGGTGTGCACCGCGGGGTTACCCGCTCGGTCCGGGGGGAGGCCAGGCGGGCCGGCGAGGCGCTCCCGGGAGGGCCCGGCGAGAGGGCGGGCGGCGGTGCCGGTGACCCGCTGCGGCCGCCTGCCGCGGCCCGCCGGAGGCAGCGGGCGGTGGGCTCCAGGGGGAAGGTGGCCGTGGCGGCCGCTGTGTGTGAGGACGGGGCACCGGCTGGCAGCGGTCCCGTCAGCTCTGCGGGTGAGGCTCAGGTCCCGCAGGAGGAGGGGGGCAAGGGGACGTGAGGGCCGGGTGGGAGTCATGAGGTGCCTTAGTAGCGCTTCAGAGTCAGGCCCTCCGAGTGGGCAGCTCTGGCTCCCGTGAGGGCTCAGAGTCTCTTTGTTTCTTGACAGCTTGCTTCTCCGCGTTGTTAATCATCTTGTCCTGTTTCGTTGGTTGTGTGTTGGTTTCACTATGTGGTTAAGTATATTCGGCAACAAAAGGCAGCAACTGTTTCACCGGTGTGTAGGTTGTTTTTTGGAGGCGGCTGCAGTGGTTCGTTAGGGTACGTCTCCTTGTTTTGGCAGATGGTAGTTGCAAAAGCTGCTTGTCCTTCTAGGCTTGGAAGCAGGAAGCTTTAGTGTAACTTCAGTAGGTTGATGATGTGGGCTTGCAGATTTTGGGTCTTGTCGTGGAAATATGGGTGAGTCCGAGACATGTATATGGTCAGTGAGACTGCAGACCAGGAGAGGGTCTCTTGCAGAATTGAAACCTCCGTGTAAGATTAAAAATCTCTTAGTCGGGCCTTAGTGTTTCTTTGCTTTATCTTCTAAAACTGCTTTTCAGAAGTTAAAATATTTTGAGCAGAATACTGTAAAACCCCATATGTGACCAGTGTCCCAGTGTGTTTTGTGATCAGGAAATCGTTGAAACAGCATGAGCTACAGCTGTCTTTCTGTATTGACAAGGAAATGTAATTGCTGACTGCTATGAATGCTTTATATTGCCATTGATTTTAGGAGGAGATGGTTACGCTCTAGGAGTAAGAGAAACTGAAAGTCTGAAGGTGTTTTAAGAGACTGCCAATGCAAAATGCCATCCATTTTGTGGGGCAAAAAAAACCCTTAACTTGTTCTCTAGTACCTTTGAGCCCTCCTTTGACTGAAATTCTTCAATTATCCGTTCTTGACTTGACTTTAAAGCAGTATTTTCTGCTGTTTGGTAAGACTTGTTTTGGGTTGTTGAGAGGTGTTTGTTGGTGTTGTGAGGTTTACCATTTCAAAGTGTTGAGAAAAAGGACTGAAGAACCACATATGGAGAGTGGTTTCTTTGGTCCTAATTAGCAGCTGTATTGGTTATCACTACATAAGGCTAATACTGAATTTCCTGAAGCTTGCTTTTTAAAGAGCTATGGAAAAAAGCAAGTGCTTTTCTGGATTTAGTACTGTTACTAGGCAGTGAAAGTAGATTAAGTCAGTAGTCTGCAACTTTTCGTAACACATGGGTTCCAGTAGGCAATCCTGTACCTGTTCTGGGTTGGCTTGCTCTGAACTTCTTATCCTGTTGCCAAAAACAATACTGGAAAGCCTTATGGATAATTCTTATCTTCAAGGCGTAGACCAAGAGCCTGCTGCCTCAAACTGAGAGGGGAAAAGAAAGAAACTGATGTCAGAAGAGAAAATCAGGACTCTAATTTAAAGAAGTACCCAGAATACTGATTTTCTTTAAATGTACTAATACTGCATATAACACTATCTCTTACACTAGCAGAAGTCAGTCTTCTGTAGAGCTTAGAGTTGACTCTAAGCTCTACTCTGCTCTTGTGAGACCTCACCTGGAGTATTGTGTGCAGTTCTGGTGTCCTCAACATAAAAAGGACATGGAACTGTTGGAACAAGTCCAGAGGAGGGCCATGAGGATGATCAGGGGACTGGAGCACCTCCTGTATGAAGATGGGCTGAGGAAGTTGGGGCTGTTCAGCCTGGAGAAGGGAAGGCTGCGTGGAGACCTCATAGCAGCCTTCCAGTATCTGAAGGGGGCCTATAGGGATGCTGGAGATGGACTCTTCATTAGGGACTGTAGTGATAGGACAAGGGGTAATGGGTTAAAACTTAAACAGGGGAAGTTTAGATTGGATATAAGGAAGAAGTTCTTTATTGTGAGGGTGTTGAAGTACTGGAATAGGTTGCCCATGGAGGTTGTGAATGCTCCATCCCTGTCGGTGTTCAAGGCCAGGTTGGACAGAGCCTTGGGTGACATGGTTTAGTGTAAGGTGTCCCTGCCTGTGGCAGGGGTTTGGAACTGGATGATCTTAAGGTCCTTTCCAACCCTAACTATTCTGTGATTCTATGACTCATTCAGATTCTTAAAGGACTGAAGTCCTTATTTGATTCCAGGGATACTGGAGAAATTCTGTAGGAGAATCAGGTATGAAAACAGAGCCTTCCCATCCTCATGAATGGTGTTTTTCAGTATGCAGTGGTCATGCAGACAGTAATGCCATGGTTGGAATTTTGTAACCCTGTTGCATGTTCTGGAAACATTTGAGAACAGCCATTGATAGCAAGCATGCTGACATCTTCAGTGCCAAGTATGCTAAGACACCTATCTTCCCACTACCATGACGCTACAGTTCTATAAAGTCTGCCAGTGCTCTATTAGAGTGCGAACGAGAGGTATGACTTGGTTATAGGTGGAGAAGACCTGTCACAGAATGTATGATTTTCCACGTTGTGCAGTCGATCATAAATTGATTTCTTCCCGTTCTTTACAACATTCTTCTTTGCACAGGTGATGTTATCAGTGTCAGAATGTAAATGCAAACAAAGGGGTGACTAACTGACTGGTATTAGCCTGCCTGTAAGCAGAGCTGAAGGTGTAAACCCTTAAGTATGCAAGTCTCATGTGAAGTTCATAATAAAAAGGTGCTATTGCTGCATCTTAGACACGAGCTTCTAACCTTGGGACTAGTATGACATAAAATAACACTATCAAGGTGTACACCAGGACTTGTGATAGGAACAAATGCACTCCCACTTGTTAAACCTTAACTGATTTACTTAATTTTAGAATTTTGCTGTTATTTGACTCCATACGTAGAGTTAATATGTCCATAACATCAGTGACTTGTGTGAGATGGGTAGAAAACCTAGTGATGTGTTGAAGGAATTTCTACAGTGTTGCTTAAGGATCTAACTTGTGACATAAACAGAGATAAAGTTTTGAGTAAACCTTGTCTTCTAAAGTACTTGACTTGTGTTAAAAGGATTTATAGAAATGCTGAGCTTTGCACTTTGGCACTGCCGTAGGGCTGTGCAATCTGCCTTTATATAAATTCAGATTAAAAAAGCAAAAAACAGTAGAGATTAAGTATTAAACTGGTAAAAGTAAGGAAATCCTCATAGTATCCACTGCGTATACACACAGTTCCATTCCCCTCCCTTCAGGCATGGGTATCAAAACAAGTCTTTGTGTGAGCTGAATCAGGGAGTTGTGTCAAGTTATGTCTGGGCTGGAGGACATGGTGTCCCAGTACACGGCCAGCATTACCACTAGTACTGTGAGTCACAGTTGTCCTATCTGTGTTGCAGTCCTCTAGCTTTTCTGTGTAAATGGACCATGGTATATTGCACCTTCCTTCTCAGCAATATTAGGTGATAGCCCAGTAATAATCTTCCTAATTTAGAGCAGTGTAGTGGGCAGAAGTGAATTAACATTGGGAGAGCTAGCATAAGTGGGACTCGGGGGAGGGGGGGCGGGGTATGGGGTGTGTGTGGTCTGTAAATACAGGAACACCATCAGTGTATGAAGCTTCATGGACTCATTCTTGTCTGTTTTGTATGGAATACAGGCAGTGATGATCAGATTAATCTCTTAAAATATTCTTTTCCTGACTTTTTCTTGGGTGCTATGATACTTTTCATCCAGTTAATCTCCTTTTATGGTGTTTCATCACTTCTAAACTTGGGTGGCTTGCTGCTCTGATTACATTTCTATGTGGAGATCTAACCAGATTAATTTCAACCAGTCCTTCTGGCTCCATGTTTATACGTCTCATATCTGGTTTTGAGGACCTTTTCTACCCTAGTCCCTTTCTGTTTTGTTGAAACCTTTGTTTATCACCTCTACGCAGCTGGTGTTCAGTAGAGCTGCTTTTTGTTTCTTGTCATGTAGAATATGGCAAGAGCTTTGTTTAGGTGGATCTTCATTTCTTTATAAACTTCAGTTGAAAATAGAATCATCCCTAGGATTTGAGTTTCCATCTTTTGCAGTGTTACTAGGTAGCGTAATGCTTAGTCTGGGAAAGCCGTTTGTGATGGGGTCCTTATGAAAGATACCTTGCAAAATACAGGTAAGTTGGGTCTTAATTGGAAACAGGAAAGTTTTGCTAGTGAATGCAATAAGCAGTAAACAGTAGTTGAGAGTATTTTGCTCTAGAAAAATTAAAAACCTTACCCAACAAGTGGAGAGGTGTGTTCAGTCTGTTCAGATTAGTTTAGGTGAAAGTATTATTAGGATAACGGTTCAGGTAACTGCTGACACAAACAGTAAAATTTCTCTTCCATTTAATTTTGGTTGTATTGTCATGTAAAATCTTTAGCAAGAGTTCTGATGCAGTGACAGCTTGACACTGATTGGGAAAAGCATTTTAGTTTGTTCAAATAATGATTGTCTCGTAAAGGTGTGAAAAGCTCTTTGAAAGATGCATTTGGGTTTTACATTGAACAACACAATTATAAGAAGGAAAAAAACCTGTTCCCATACCCCAAAATCAGTAACTTCTTTATCAGTTTTGTTGAACATCATTGTATGCATGCTAGCACATCAGCTGTCCTACAGCTTCATCTCTAACTTGAGTGTAGTAGGTTGGAAATAAAACCTGAATTGAAATGAAGTGGCAGTTCCTGTGATACTAACAGTTGTCCAGTTGTTAATGGTGACTTTAATGTCTCTGTCTTAGGATAATGTGTTCAAAGATA